TTCCCTTATCTTCAGTTTTACAAAAATGCAAAGGATTGGTGGCTGTTTGGTTTCTATTTCTGTGTACCACTAGCATGTACGGCTGTCTTCTACACGCTGATGACATGTGAAATGCTAAACAGGAGGAACAGCAACTTGAGAATTGCTCTCAGTGAACACCTAAAGCAGGTAAATATTAAGGAAACCTAGAACTAAGGAGCACTACTGCTGTGTCTACAGGCAAGTTTAGCAATCTTTCAAAATAGCTTTTAATAAAAATGAATTCCAGAAATAGAAAGTGAGGCTGCAGCTGACTTTTGACCCTGAGGTATTCAACCAAACCCAGAATGTAAGAATAATTTATAGTATAAGCAGATATGGGAGACAACATGTTCAAGTGACTAACCTATGTTTATTTCCTTTTCTTAGCAAGTGTGACAGTCCTATTCACTCACTCTCTAACCTCAATACTCTGCTGGCTAAAATTCCTTGGAAACCAGCTACAAAGATTTGCTAAAAATACATTTCCTGAATTTCTCTCCAAAAATATAAAATGCTCTGCTTTAGTCCATCTTAATAATGTAAACTTTCTGAATAAAGAGATCAGTGGCAGAGTGCTCTGGTTATAAACACTTAGGCCATATCTAAATGAGGCTGGAATTATTTTAGAGTTTTCCCACTGACACACACCCACCAGCGTGACTGTACCAATGGGAGCAAGAACACAAGCACAGATAGGATGTGAGCAGCTATCGGCATTTTGCCATAGTGTCGTCTGGATCTTCTCTGAATAGGTATAGACAGTGATAAAAATAGAGAGAAGGGATATGCTGCTGTCACTGATGCACCCCACATTGCTACTACGAATGGACAAAAGAAGAGAGAGAGGTGTCATTTCAGACCATATTTTCCTTCTTTGTAGCTCTTTTCTGTGTCACATTTTGGACTTCAACTTCAAAAAAACAACCTGTAGCCAGGTCCCTGCTATTATGATCTGGCAAATGAGTGCAAATCTTACCTCAGCTCCTCATTTCTTGACTTTGTATTTACATCTGTGAACGACCCTCTAGAAGCAAAATGCATAGTCCCACTACCCAAGGGAAGGGTCTTCATAGCACAAAGTGAGCCCTGTGAGAGCTTTCCCTGCGCTTTTCAGAGTTTATTTAGGCAGAGCAGGGGTAGGTGAAAGGAGGTTAGACAATCTTTTGACTTTCCAGGCATGGAATACGTGTCCTGTACCCACAGAGTCTACTTAAGTCATTAGAAGTAGAAGGGTGTAGAGGAAGGAATCCATCCATTAGGCCTGTGCGAAGCAGCTAGTATTTGCTCCGGATTCGGATTCGGACAGTTTGGGGAACAACAATTTGATTTGGTGATTTGAATCACTGTCCTGAATCGATTCAGCCGAATCTGATTCAGAGATTCAGCCACCGCCGAATTGGCCAAATCTCCGAATCAAACAGTTCCTATCCGCTGCCCACTCTCCCAGCCCCGTCAGTGGCTGCCCTGCCCGGCCCCAACATCCCAACTGTTTTAAAAAAAAAATTTTAAGCCCTGCAAGCAGCTGCCAAGCTCCTACTCTGAGATCAGGGCCAGGGCTGGGAAAATGTCCCCTGTCCCAGCAGCTCCCTCCTGCTGGGCCCTCACTCTGATCCTGCCAGGCCCCTGCTCTGAAATCAGTCTGGCAGCCAGGCAGCTGCTGGGGCAGGAGATATTGTCCCAGCCCTGTCTCTGAATTGCTGATCGGAGCAGGGGCCCAGCAACAGGCAGCTGCCTGGAGGAGGGGACAGTTCTCCCACTCCCTGCTGCCTGGGCTGACCAGGAGCAATTTGCTCCCTGTCAGCTATGTACCCATGTGCTACTGCACATTAGCTAATGAATGGTAAATCTACTTGTATTTACAGGCAGTAGAAAACCATGCATTAGCCTATTTCAATGTGCAATAGCTGCTGCACACGGTTACATAGTGACGCTTTACTACACAGAAGATTAGTCTACTGCACAGTAAAGCATCTTATGTAAATATACCCACTGATTATGATAGTTGTTCCCTAAATATGCAGTGGAAGATTAGGGTCTGATAAGTAACACTTAATGGCATAGCTTTTCTTAGACTGCCAGCTTGCCTGATCATCATTTAGCAACTAGATTGACAGACATCAATAATCTTTTGGATTTTTTTTTTCTTTCTTCAGCGTCGAGAAGTTGCCAAAACTGTTTTCTGTTTAGTAGTGATTTTTGCACTCTGCTGGTTCCCTCTCCATTTGAGTCGAATTTTGAAGAAAATGGTATACAATGAAAAGGACCCTAACAGATGCGAACTGCTTAGGTACTAAGTTTTTTCTTATTCCAAGCATTCACAATGAAAAAAAAGTGAAACATTGCCCAGAGTTTACTATTTCATAAATTTGTTGTCCCTGCAGCTATATATGTAACCAAACACTAGAAAGTTGGTTGCATTGGCACCTCCATTTTGCAGTCTTCAGTGGGGGTAGATAACAGCCAAATTTGGTTTATTACCATTATGTACATTTTCCCTTCATTTTTCCATAGTGGAGCCTTAGGCCAGTTATTTCAGGCAGACCATGCTTAAAGTATTGCCTACCTTGGAATAAGATAAGCGGTGGATAATTAATCTTTGTATCATAGAAAAATTGGCCGTGTGTAACATTAATGCCTTTGCAACGTATAAATGGTTGTAATTATTTTACTTTCTATTTTACTTTCTTGTTGTCCAGTTTCTTGTTGCCACTGGATTACATCAGCATCAACCTGGCAACCATGAACTCTTGTATAAATCCAATCGCTCTCTATTTTGTCAGCAAGAAGTTTAAAAACTGTTTCCAGGTAAGATTTCTGTCCTAAGACCTTTTTCTTTTTAAATGTTGATTTTAAACCCAATAGATACGTTCTAGTCAAGCACTTAGTAATTATTTATTTGTTATCAGTTTTAAGGAGGGGTATATAAAGGAATGAAGGATTATAAATTATCTAATTTGCTAGCCAGAAGGTCACATAGTACACATACCAAACTGAGAGCTGAAAATATCCAGCTAGTTTTAGGCACCAAACCAATAAATGCTTGGTTTGACATAGTCCACCTAGATAAACATTAATTGATTAAGTAGTTTCAAAGGATGTTTCTACTATCCAAAAACTCCCCAAAAAGCAGTTTTTCAATCTGATAGACTGTAACCAGGGGAAAGGGCAGGGATAAATCTGCTCCATATTATTTGGGGACCATGGAAAGGCTTCAGGCCTGGACCTCTCACTGAGTGTGTCTACACAAGGCACCCACTGCACAGTAACTGGTGTTACTGTACAGCAGCATCCCAGCATGGTTGCCTAGTGACACTTATTGCGTAGTAGCTCATTACTACTGTGCAGTAGCATCACGTCACAGTTCATGCCCAGCGACACCACTGTGCAGCAGTAACGAGCTACTGTGCAGTAGTAACAAGCTATTGCATAGTAAGTGTCTCATGTAGATGTGCTCACTGAGTACCAGGGAAAGGGGACTAGGAAAAGAGGGGTAGCCCATGCTGTCACTGCTCCAAATTCAATTAACTAACTCCTTGCCTGACCCCTCAAATACAATTCCATATCACACAGCTCCTCTCCAGCAGCTCCAGGTTAACTAGGTCAGGCTATACCCTAATCCCCACCATAAAATTAATTTATCCCTCCCATCCACTCATCATAAATCACATCCCACATTCCACTTTATCAGTACAGCTAATCCAGGCCATCTCCCCACATTCAAGTGATTTATTCCACCTGCCTCTGAACCAATACAATGAATTTATGTCTCAACCCACAGGGATACAGTGTAGTTATTTTAAGCTCAACCCTACCTCTCTACAGCACTCCCGCTGCTACTCCACAGCTTTTATTGCACTGGGATTCTCACCCTCATTCCCCTTCTCCCTAAAGAGCTGTAAGAGGAAATCCCAGCTACACAGGAACAGACATTGTTTTCCATTAAGGTGAATAAAAGTCAGAGGGAGCATGCTGAACTGTTATATTTTTCAGAGGAGATAATGTAGCCTCAATCTGTAAAAACCCAACAGTTTACACCTGATTCACTTCCTCCTCCAATCTGTGAGAAACAGCAACCTTACCTATTTCCGTTATACCACTCCCCTGACCGCAGACATTTGTCTGCTTCTGTGCCTACTTCTTTCTGTTTTTTACATAAGAGTGTCCATGTGATGGGGGTGGGACAGACAGGGACAAAAACATCAGGAGGAGGATTCCCTTCTTTTTTCTCCACCCTTGCTAGTCTGCTGTTGCTAATCCTTGTCTGGCAATATTACCTTCATTTGTAGCATAGTGGAACAAGGATAGGGGTACAGCTGTTGTTGAGAATATGTCACAACACTTGCAGAATTTGGTGGGATTAGCTCTTTCAAATCAAACTCAAGCCAAATTTCCATTTGATGTGCTGGAAGCTTTGCCTAAACCAGCCAAATTTCCATTTGATGTGCTGGAAGCTTTGCCTAAACCAAGAATGGAGAGTCCCCTAATTTGTTGGTGTTGTGAAGAGTAATTAAAAGCATTACATGCAATTTAAGGTCAAACTCTGCCTGTCATCAGCTGTCTTCATTTGGGGGTCTATGTATGCTTCTGAACTTGAAGGCAGAGTGCAGGCCTATAGATTGATGTTCTTTGAAAACCTTTTTCTTTCTAGTCATGTCTGTGCTGTTGCTGCTACCAGTCTAAAAGTTTAGTGACTTCAGTGCCAATGAATGGAACAAGCATTCAGTGGAAAAACCAAGAGCTGAACAACCACATTATAGATCGAAGCAGCCATAAGGACAGCATAAACTGAAACTAAAGAACTTTGACATCACTTCAGAATCCATCAGGACAAAAAGTATCACATCAAAGCTGTTTAAACAGGAAATCAATGAGTATTCCATGAAATATAATCTATGCAGACGTTTTTGTGCCCTTCTACCTAATTACACAGACATGACCGAGTAGATTGACCACACACTTAAACTTCTGTGAATTGGGATCTTCCTGACAATGTTCCTGTCTCTGACAATTATACTCATCTTATTGTACAGTTGAAAGACTCATTCTGCACTGTGCAGACTGCTTGCTGTCTATGAACCAGGCAGGAATGGCCCAGTGTGGAACTGGTACACAGCCATGTCTTTACATGATGGTTGATTAGAATTATTCACATGGGATTTTTTGCAAGATGTCAAAAGTGGAATCTGGGAGCGTATAGTTGATCTCTGCCCTTCTGCCAAGGAAATACTTAATTGAGTGGTGGTTATACTCTGTACAAGAGCATGTTTAGCATGATTTTTACAAAGCTTTTATTTGGAAATGTGTGAATCTGTGCCAGTATTTTTTTTAACTTAATTTTGCAAGATGAGACAATGCAAGAGCTGAACATTTTGCATTTAAAGCACTTTGCTATTAAAAGATTGGAACAGACCTTCTCACATACCACCAACATTAGGCACTTACAGCATAGACTGATACCAAAAAGAAGGAAATATAACACGCTACATATTCTAACTCTCTGCTTAGTAAACTTTTTTTCTATATTGCCAAAAAGAATAATCTGTGACAATAAAAAAGAGGAAGAGGCGATCTTTCAACTAGTCATATTTAACTCTTAAACTAGATGAACCTATATTCAAACTATATCTGTTTTGGATGTAAATTGAATTGAGAGTGCAGAAGTATTAATGGTGCACCATAAACACCTTACTAGGACTGTCTGGAACTCTTCTCAGAAGATAGTCAAGAGCAGTTCACAAACTGTCACATAATGGAGCTGAAATTATTGCCTCAGCAAATGAAGACAGAACTCATACTGCAGTCCATTAGAGTTGTATACACATAATGATTTTATGTCTCATGCTTACAAAGTTCAGATGTTTAAAATGAGTATAAAGTTCTTATTGGGGTTATTAACCATAAAAATACTATTGACAATATAATATATAGAAAATATTGCTTACATACATGTAAACATGTGACATGACTTTCATTACCACCAGCTCTTGTTACATGGCAAGACATTTGTTGTTTGGCTGTTATATCTGCTAAATAGATAGTGTTTTATTAAATAGAAGAATGAAATAGAGCAGTATCAGATACAATATGCCTGCTGCAGAAACGTACCATGAGATTTATAATATCTGGTAGGCCAGGTTGCAAGGTAATAACTACAATGCTGTTTTTAACATCCAGTTGTGTTGCAAGTAGAAAAGCCTGAACATTATTTACCAGGTCAAAGTATTAAGTGCCTTCTGCTGCACAATTTCCCAAATGTTTACACACACAGCAAAAAGAATCTTTTAATGTATATTAAAAAAAAATCCTGCTCTTTAAACTACTTCATGTATTTTGTGGGCTTTTGTCTCTATGGCATATATGTGTGTATATATACATACAAATTTATGTTAATACATTATAAAACTAAATATAATCTTTTGACAGTGCTCTGTAGTCATGCCCAAGAGCATGCTATTGAATGAGACTTGGCTGAATTTTATTTAAAACATCCCAGCATCCAAGCTGTACCAATAACCAGAGGGAACAAATAATGATAATTTTTCTTTCAGAATTCTGGCTGTGTGAAGTCTCTTTACACCTAGATCCCTTCATTCCTATATGAGAGAATCCACCAGAAAGGACATGCAAGTCAAGCAATAATAGACATGTGGGATGTTTTGTGAAGCAATAACAGACAGGCTTCAACATTATGAAAGCTAGGAAGGGATGCTATATGCTCATACCTGTGCTCATATGCCCTTTAGTTGACTCTAATGTGGACAAAAGGAATCTCATGATAATATCAAACCAATAACATAGTTACTAGGAGCCATTCATCAGCTTCTGTGAAGAGGCAGGTTGTAGAAGCCACCCAGGGGAGAGAAACTTCAGGCTAGGTACAGACATTCAAAAAGCCTTAGGCAGAATCGATCTAAGTTATGCCGATTTTCTGTAAGCGGCAAATCTTAGACTGGGCTCCACCATTTTTATACCAGTCTGTGTGTGCCAAACCTCTTCTGTTACAGTTTCTGATTGCTTATACCAATAAAAATGTAATGTCTGTACCTGGCCTCAGTCTACAGAGACATTACTGCATTTTTCTTACTGCTATCAGAGAAGGGTCCAGCAGTGAAAATCCCAGTTTCATTTACGTCCAGAAGCTGGCCCTTTCAACCTTAACCTACACAGGACATAAGCTGCAAGCTGTGACAGGCCAAAAGTTTTACCTTCTTAATATTGAATTCTATTGCTCTTAACCCAACTGGTGCTTCCCTGATGCTGTATCAACCTTCTTGACAATTTGGCTTGACAGGAAAAATGCCTTCCTGACCCAAACTGATGATTAGTCAGAACAGCAGAGGCATAAAAGACAGCTCCCTTGCTGTTCCTAAGGGAAGAGAGAGAGTGTAGAAGCTGCCAGGAATAGGAAGCTGTTGATAAGCCTGGGCAAGCTGAAATAAGGGATTGGGACCATTAGAAACTACAAGTGCACCGATATATCAGTCCATATCATATCAGCACCAATAAAAAGAAAATTGATATTATCGGCAATTGTTTTTTTATGGCCAATTTAGCTGATAATGTCACAGATAAATGCCACATGCATGCGCACAGCCAGGAATGCAACCCGGCAGCATGAAGCGCAGCGTCTGACTGATAAGTCTGTGGGAGGGAAGGGGCATAGAGGAGGGAAGGGGTAGTGGGGCAAACTAAAGCCCCCACGGTGAGGTAGGGAGTGGGGCTGGGGCAGGGCCAGGGGTAGGTACTGCCCAGCCAGGGCAGGGCAGGTTGCAGGATGGAGCTGCAGGCAGCTTGTCTTGGGGCAGGAAGGTGGGCAGTTCCCACCACTGCGCATACCCCCGGGGGAGGTATGGGGGGCATGTGCCCCTTGGATTTGTGCACAGGGTGAAAGCAGGCTGCCTACTGCAGGCAGGGCTGTGCCAGCCTCTTCCTCGTTGGGGGAGGCTGGGCCAGGGCTGCACTCAGGGTGGGCAGGGGTGGGCAGCTGTGGCACAGGGAAGGGGAGCTATGGGGTGGCTACAGTGAAGTTTGGGGTAGCTGTAGCCCACCCCATAACCCCCCCTTCCCAGCACTGCCACCAACTGTCCCAACCACACCTGCCCCAAGTGCAGCCCTGGTCTAGCCCCCCTGCCAGGAAGAGGCCACAGCAGACAGCCCACCCTCACCCTACACACAAATCCAGGGGGCTCATGCCTCCCCCCCACGGGATGCATGCAGCATGGGGAGCCACCGCCCCATCCTTCCCATGCCCCCCAGACAAGCTGCCTGCGGCTCCATCCTACAGTGCCTGCCCCTGCCCCAGCCCCATTCCCTCCCTCACCATAAAGGCCTCAATCTGCCCCCTGCCACATCCCTTGCCTCCCCGAACACCCTTTCCCTCCACAGACTTAATGACTGCTCTCCAAACTACCAGGCTGCATATCAGCAATTGGATCAGTATTGACTGATATGGCTACTTAATAATCGGCCGTTGGTATCAGCCAAAAAAATCTTTATCGGTGCACCCCTATTAGGAACTAACTGGCTACTCTCCAGGCATTGGAAATGCAGAACATCTTTAGAAGAGGGGGAGCAGCAACACAGGTTAGCATGCACTGGTTTCTCTAAAAACTATACTCCCATGTTTAGTACTGTTCTACTCTTGTGGCCTACCATTGCTCCCTGCAAATACCACAACTGTCAATAATTCTAACGTTAGTATCTTTGACTTAGTATCTTCAAAAAAATAAAAACCACCAAGCCAGAAAACACTCCACTGACCCTGAAATCCTACCATCTTACTCTATTTTTAACCTTTCTCTGCAAATTGTTGGAAAAGGAGCCCTCCCATCTTCTAAAGTGCATTTCAGGTAGCAACGTATTTTCAGTCTGGGATCCAAGGCTCTAGTTCTAGCCATGGTACAGAAACAGCTTTTCTTAATCTAGTTAATGTCCTCATATCTACATGATGATTAAGGCTCGTTTGCTTTTACCTCACAACTGCTTTCAACATTTTGGGCGTCTCCTTACTCTTGGACTACCCACAGCTCTATCAACATTTTTGCTGTTATCAGCTGACCCAAACTGTCCTTTTTCTGGAGCTGAATCCATCTCTACACTAAATGTCTCCTACCTATGAATCTTGCAAGGTTCACCTCGCAGCTCCCTGGTTTTATTTTATCCAGCTCTTCACTGTCACCTCCACATACCTACAACTTTACCTACCACTTTCAGACTTAACATCTTTATTGGTCCTTCCATTTCTACTTTCCTTCTCTGTTTATACAAATGTTATGGTTTTGTCTACTCCCTCACCTGAATGTTTCAAGTGTGGACTTGCTTCCCTTGAGCAAAAGCAGTAATTTCTTGCCTATATTTTTAGTATCATGCTAAAGCTGAGTTTTCTTTCTTATAACTTTTTAAAGTTTTCTTATAGCTTAAGTTCCACATCTCACCTTGCCCCTTTGCAACTTTACCAGAGTTCGCTGATACTTAAAATCCATTTGCACCCTTATCTCCTCTTTCTTTTCTTATTACAACTTAGTGTCCTGTGCCCTCCACAGTTCCCATCGTCTTAGAGTTTATTATGTGTAGAAAGTTAGTGTCTGTTTTCTCACATGAACAATTTTGTCTTCCATCTCAAACAACCTACTGGATCCCCTTCGCTGAGTTCAGTATAGTCTGTCTTTTTAGTTTTAACATGAAAGTATTCCAGTTCACCTCATGTACTCTGCCTTTTCTATAGAATACTACTTTTATTCTCTCTACTGATAGCATGGGCCTCTATTTTTCGATGCAGCCTTGTCACTGTCTTTGCAAGAGACCCTTCCCTGTAGCTCCTACTCTCTGGAACAGTTTTCCCAAATCTCCATAACCCTCCATTCTTGCCCTGCCAAACACTCAATAAGGGCAATTGTCTTCAAAACTTGGGTGAGAGGAGAAGCATAAAAAGTTTATCAAACAGGAGTTTTCCAAGTAAATACAGCTTATCACTACTGCACCATGGGAGAAACGGAATAAAAAAATGTAAGTCATCTGCACTTTCTCCAAAGGAACCTGAAAAGAGCTGACCTCCAATACCCCATCTATCATCAGCACAATGTTTTTTTCTCTCTGTAGACATGATTGCTGCTGAAATCAATAGCTGCTTGATTCACACTTTTGCAGTCTCATAGGTTACTGTAGCTCCTGTTGTTCTTGGGTGGTTGTTCTTTCTAAAAATACTGTTTCTAATTCCAAATTCCACTGGGTCTTCAGGCACATTTAACTGTAGCTCTATATTTTTTCACCTCTGTCTCTTTCACTTGTGATGAATGTGTCAAGGTAAGGATTATGGTGAAGTTCAGGTTTGTTTTGCCTTTTTTTTATAACTTCAGATGTCATCATGGCTAACCACCATAAACCTTCATCAGTTTAAAAAATATTTGAATACATTTTCCATATACCATGGGCTCCACACAAACTATCCATATAGTACAGTGATTTTCAACAGGATTTTCAAACAATGTGTGCCACAAGATCCTTTTAAGTGTGCTGTGGGGTGCCACACAACACCTACACATGATCTACAAGATAAATAGAGAGGTTTCAAATAGGAATACAAAAACATTCTGATTTGCTAAGGTTTTTCTGAGATTTCTGCAACAGAAGACTTGCTCTATTTTGTGTAGTCAAGAAACAACTCAAAGCTAAGACCTAGAATTTTCCTAAGGGTGCCTTGAGTCCATTGAGGGTGCTTTGAATTGAAAAAGATTGAGAACCACTGGTATAGTAAATACCACCTTATGCTTTAAGATACTAAAAGTAAATGCCTCTAGGTTTCCTTCTTTCTTTCCTACTAGACAAAAGCCTACTCTTTCCTATTTACTATGCACACTAATGCTCTGTACAGACATTCAGAGAGATGAGGGGGAAGTTAGATAACTTTAAAAATGGCGACCCAATTTAACTCAGCTCACCCAGCTGTGGACCTTACACTAGTTTGGTGGATCTACATGCAAACTGTACAGAAGTTCAGGACAGTTAGATCCATCTAAAAATTGCCAACCCAATCACAGTTGAGTGTACCTCTGAGGTAGTCTAACTTAGCTCAGGTCCAGCAAGACCAATCTAACTGAACTTCTCTGTGTCACAGGGCACTAAGGTGCCTTGCTCCTAGAAGAGCAGAAACTGCCTGGGAGAGGGCCCAACGAGAGAGACAGAAGCCAGATGCAGGTTACCAGGGCAACAAGCCAGAAGGCAAATTAGCCTGCACCTGCGCATGATCAGCTGACCAGAAGGGGGAGGGCCCTGGGCCCATATAAACCCCAGGCTGAGCTAGGGAGGGCAGTTCTCTGCCAGC